GATTTTCCATAAAAGTTATACGTTATAAAACTTAATATTTTTATGGAATTTTTATATCAAATTTTTTATTGGGATATTTAACTAATTCATCATATGTTATTTTAGAATTATACTTCAACAATTGAGCATCACAAACATAAAAGTATAAATATTTGAAATGAAACTGTGAAGGGTAAGAAAATAATAGGTATCATTAATATTACTTATCATTATTAAATTTAATTATTTATATTATAGCACCTCGTATTAATGATAAAGATATTCCTATAAAAATGAAATGTTTATGAAATATTACGAAAATATACAAAATACATATAGACAGATCATTATTTGTATATAAAATAACCAAAATTTTATAATTATATTTTTCAAATATATAAATTATACAATATTTAATCACTACAATTTTAAAATATATACGTAAAATGAATAATAATCAATATTTATACAAAAAATATACAAATAAATACACACTAATTGTATTTAGTTATAAAATATCTTATATTTATATAAAATGCATACAATTAAAGAATTATACAATAAATTTATTTATAATTCGTCATGATTATCTATAAACTCTTTGTCTACTATATAATAAATTCTATTTATTTTAAAAAATCCTATACAATGATCAATAGCATGTACATTAATAAATTCATGTGATCCATATTCTAAAAATAACAAAAGTCCTACATTATCCTCTTTAACATTAGCAGCTCACTGAATGTATGCTAACATATGCATTTCTTGTTCAAATTCATAAAGTAAATAATATTTTACATTTTCAAAAAATGTTTTGGATATAAATTCTGGTGTTCTTTTTGGAAAATTGATCCATTTATCTACATACATTATTACCTATAGAATTCATATAAAACAGTTTAGAATTTACAATATATATATATATATATATTAAATTATTTATATACCATAATAAAATAATTAATCTGGGCTCAGTCATTATTTCTTCTAATCCATTCAGATCTAATATAATGCTCATTTTTTGTTCATAAACGTTCATATTTTATTTCTGATGAAGAAAAAGACTATAATAAAATTAGTTATATTATTTTTTAATTTATATTTAAATTGAAAAATCAATTTACCTTAAGTGTTCTACCCTTAACATCATAATAAACAGAAAAATGTTCTTTTATTTTTTTCAACTCTGAACTACTAAGTATATGATACTTTGCTGGAAAATTAAAGTCTTCATTCTCATTGAAAATACAAGATATGATGCATATTGTTTTAGTGGTTGAGGTGGAAAAATATTAGTATAAGTTGTTTGATAATATTTTAAATGATTAAACAACTCCCGAATGTGAATATTATTAATTATATTTTATAAGAATGGAGTTGCAATTATGCTAATAGAAGAAGCATTCCACAAATATGTTCTATTGAAAATTGCTATGTAGCTCAACATGGATCTGTATTTTTAATACTATCAGTAATATGTAGAATATAATGAAAGCATAATTTCATTGTACTTAAATGTTCTTCTAAACCATAGTAGTATTCTCTAATAATAGATAAGTAATAAGAATTATTTATATATCTGAAATTTGAGTTAAAATTTCTATTATTACTAACCTCTCATAATAATTATAAAAAGATCGAAATAGAAATTGAATATTATTTAATTCTTGAGCAGTTAAAGATAATTTTTGACATAGACGGACTGCTTTGACAAAATAAGCCTATTCTTGATAATGATTTTCTGACATTCGTCCTTTCAACAAAGGTAAAGAGTACATGGTTATCCAGGTTGCTCATTTTTCAGCTTTATAACTATTATGATGAAAAACTATGTTACGAGGTGGACGTTTAAGATATGTTAGTATTGTCTTCTGAATACTATGCATTTCATTACCTATTTCATTCTATTGAGCCTGGCTAAGTATATAACTATCATTATTTTGATTATCATTTCTTTGAAAAAATTTTCCAGTCCAATGTTGAAATATATAACCTGCAATATTCTCATAAATTAAATGCATTATATCAATAGAAAACGAATTTGAAAAATGTGTTGCTTTTAAGTTAAATAATATACTACGTCTCTTTATTCCTAAAAATTTATAACAAAAATCAATATTAAAATACTTTTATATATAATATGAGTTATCTATAATATAAAAAGCATAAAAAGATAATTTATATATACCAAATTTTGTTTCAAATTCATGTAGTTCTTTATTTAAACTTATTATAGATAATTGTTGGATTCTTTCTTTAAACTGTTCATGATTTTGCATAGGCAAATTATCTGGATCATATGTTATATATTTATTTTCCTTTCCTATAGGTAGCATAGTTGGAAAATATACATGATTCATATAAATACCATGAATATTACAATATCTACATCTTTTATAAGAATTATGTCTAGTAAGACACATAAGCTTTGTTAGTCCTGGAGTATCACCTGATCATGATATAATATATATACATAATAAGAATCTCTCTTTTTTAAATCCATCATAACAATTAATTCCAACTATATATTAATTAGATAAATTAGAATATTTAATATTATTTGTTTTAATAAAAACAATAAAGTAAAATTCATATCTTCTAAATCTTTTAATTCATTAACTACTGGATACATAAATGAGTTAAAATGTTTAGGCTCTTTTGAACCTGGAATTATTAATGTTATCATAAGATTCTCTTTTTTAACATGATTCTCTGGACAAAGATTTGCATTAATAATAAGAACTATTCAACAATCATCTGTCTTTTGTTAAAATATTTGATATCCATTAACTGATCCAATTAATGCTATATCTCGTTCATCATTAAAAAATCCATAAAACAAATTTTCTCAATATCTTTTACTATCAAATACATCTCCAATTTTAAAATTATTATGATGATTATAATTTACATGATATCTTAATTCTTTAGAATGGTCAGGATCTTGATATTGTATTATAAGTCTATCTTTAATTGAAAAATAGGCCATTTGATATCGAGAAATACAATTTTTATTTGCTGATGTGTCTTGAAATCTTAATGCTTTACAATACTCACATTGAACATAATTTTTATATTATTCAGTATATGCATAACATGAATTGACACACATATCAATCCATATTGATTCTAACTTTACAATAGATTTTAGAACTTTTTTGATTTGATATTGGCTTATATCACCTCCATTAATAGCTAACATTATTTGTCGAAAAGCCTTATCTGTCAAATTGCAATAAAACTTAACATTAAATAATCTTAAAGCGTAAGCCATTTCATTTGATAATTGTATATCAATTATATTTGATACTATTTCTTTCATAATTTTAATAGAATCCAAAGATTTTAAACGTATCTAATGATTAATTAGTTTAAAAAATGAATAATACCTATTAAAATTACAGAATATTTTTGAATTATATGCCATGTCAGTATTGAAAACATAAAATCATATTCATTAGGTAGATTTCAACGTATTATAAGCCTATATTGATGTAAAAAAGTAAGTCTTCAACTGCTGATTCAACATTATTATGAATTAAATCTGTTTCTATTTTTTCTTCATTTAAATATTTATTTTCAAAGTGTATACTTTTAAAATATTTTTAAATGATTTGAATATATTTATGAAATAAAAAATCTATATCAATCATTTTTAAAATTCCATGTATAATTATTGAGATCTAAAAATTAAATATTTAGTTTTGATAATACCTAATAAAGTTAAAACAAAAGAATCATTTATTCTACCTTTTTTATGTGTTTCCAATTTCAAATTCAGTTGAAAATAGTAACAATCTAGAATTCAATGATTCTTTAATTAAACTAAGACATATATTATAATTATCATTACTATCAGAATGTTTAATAGATCTTAATATTACAAATTAATATAAATATTTTCTTTAAATTAAGATTTCTATTATAATTTTCTTACCTACATTTCAATTTCAACATTTTTGATTATCTTTTCATTCATTATCAAAAAATTCAGTAATGTAAAATACCTCATCTGATTCATATTTAGAGCTTGATCTTTCTGAACTAGATTCCTGATATTTTGTATAAAGTTTTTTGTGTATTTTATGTTTTTTATCTAGATCTTTTTTTTTGCTAGGTCTTGAGTTTAAAGCACTATTAGTTTCAGCCAATACATTTTTCAAACTTGTTTTGTTTTAGGAATATTGAGACCTTCTTGCATTATATTCAAGTTCTTCATTTTTATTTTCTAAAGCAGTAATGTGATCCATGAGTTTATCAAAAGTTATTTTATTGAATATTTGTTTACTTGTAACATTATTATCAGAGGATTTATAAAACTTCTGGTTTGATGACTCATCACCTGAATTCTCAAATTTTCATATTCTTTAGGAGTGAATTAGTGATAACTAAAGATAGCGTTGCAATATTGTAACACTTATTTGTCACCTGTTGCAACTTAAATTTTAATAATATTGCAATTCATTGCAACATTGTGATGCTTATTTGTCACCAGTTGCAACTAATTGAGACGCTATCTTTAGTGATAACGAACTTTAGAAGTTTTTGATTTATTCATTTATAAGTTGTAAAAAAAACAAATTAGCTAAAGTTAGAAATATCAAACTTTAAAAAAAAAAGTTATTTTTTGATTATATAAATATTATATTCGAACTTTTAAAAAAAAAAGTTTGCATGAATATCACATATCAAATTTGATCAACATGAAACATTTATGTCTAAAATCAGTTAATCTTATCATCAGCTATATATAGATATGATTTAATTTAAAAACAAAAAAAAAAGTCATATACATTGTGAATTTTTTTAAATGTCAACAAAAGTTCTTTGTACTTATTCATAATATCAAAAAAAAGATACAGAACAAAATATTGATCTTTTGGTTTCTAAATCTACTAAAACTAGATATCATAAAAAAGATCATGAACAAGAAGAATTTTCAAGTTTGAGTTCTAGTTCTAGTTCTAGTTCAATACTTGATGATACATTTGTTACTGATATTTTAAACTTAGAAAGGTATATTTTGTAATTTGAATAATTTATTTTTTATTTTTTCTTAAAAACTACATAATTGTATAAAGGTTTGAAAGCGAAACATCAAGCAACTCTTCCATGAACATTAATTTTATAAATAATAACCAGTCTTATACAAATAAAACATCTTCAACAAGCTCTAAAATTGATGAGTATGACTCAAGTGAATCTATCGAATATGTGAATGAGTTTTTTGATTCAAGCAAATTTTCTATAAATAATAATGATATGTAATATATCAAATAATTATATAATTAATTATTATAATCTATTTTATTAAATATTATCAAATATAATTGATATACAATTATCAAATAAAATGGCTTGCGCTTTAAGATTATTCAATATTAAGTCTTATTGCAATTTGACAGATGAGGCTTTTCGACAAATAATATTGGCTGTTAATAGAGGTAATATAAGCCAATATCAAATCAAAAAAATTCTAAAATCTATTGTAAAGTTAGAACCAATATGGATTGATATGTGTGTCAATTCATGCTGTGCATATACTAGACAATATAAAAATTATGTTCAATGTGAGTATTGTAAAGCACCAAGATTTTAAGACACATCAGCAAATAAAAATTGTATTTCTTGACGTCAGATAGCCTATTTTTCAATTAAAGATAGACTTATAATACAATATCAAGATCCTGACCATTCTAAAGAATTGAGATATCATGCAAATTATAATCATCATAATAATTTTAAAATTGGAGATGTATTTGATGGTAAAAGATATTGAGAACTTTTGTCTTATAGATTTTTTAATGATAAATGAGATATAGCATTAATTGGATCAGTTGATGAATATCAAATATTTCGACAAAAGACAGATAATTATTGGATAGTTCTCATTATTAATGCAAATCTTTGTCCAAAGAATCATGTTAAAAAAGAGAATCTTATGATAACATCAATAATTCTAAGTCCAAAAGAGTCTAAACATTTTAACTCATTTATGTATCCAATAGTTAATAAATTAAAAGATTTAGAAGGTATGAATTTTACTTTATTGTTTTTATTAAAACAAATAATATTAAATATTCTAACTTATCTAATTAATTTATAGTTAGAATCAATTGTTATAATAAATTTAAAAAAGAGAGATTCTTATTATATACATATGTTATATTATGGTCAGGTGATACTCTGAGACTAACAAAGCTTATGTGTCTTACTGAACATAATTCTTATAAAGGATGTAGATATTGTAATATTCATGGTATTTATATGGATCATGTATATTTTTCAACTATGCCACCTATAGGAAAGGAAGATAAATATATAACATATGATCCAGATAATTTGCCTATGTGAAATCATGAACAGTTTAAAGAAAGAATTCAACAATTATTTATAATAAGTTTAAATAAAGAACTACATGAATTTAAAACAAAATTTAATATATATAAATTATCTTTTTATGCTTTTTATATTATAGATAACTCATATTATATATAAAAGTATTTTAATATTAATTTTTATTATAAATTTTTAGGAATAAAAGGACGCAGTATATTATTTAACTTAAAAGTAACACATTTTCCAAATTCGTTTCCTATTGATATAATACATTTAATTTATGAAAATATTGCAGGTTATATGTTTCAACATTGGACTGGAAAATTTTTTTGAAGAAATGATAATCAAAATAATGGTAGTTATATACTTAGCCAGACTTAATGGAATGAAATAGGTAATAAAATGTATAGTATTCAGAAGACAATACCAACATATCTTGGATGTCTACCTTGCAACATAGTTCTCCATCATAATAGTTATAAAGCTGAAGAATGGGCAGTCTGGATAACCATGTACTCTTTACCTTTGTTAAAAGGACGAATGCTAGAAAATCATTATCAAGGATGGGCTTATTTTATTAAAGCAGTCTGTCTATGTCAAAATTATCTTTAATTGCTCAAGAATTAAATAATATTCAATTTCTATTTTGATCTTTCTATGATTATTATGAGAGGTTAGTAATAATAGAAATTTTAACTCAAATTTCAGATATATAAATAATTCTTATTACTTATCTATTATTAGAGAATACTATCGTAGTTTAGAAGAACGTTTAAGTACAATGAAATTATGCTTTTATTATATTCTATATATTACTGATAGTATTAAAAATACAGGTCTATGTTGGGCTACATGGCAATTTCCAATGGAACGTGTTTGTGGAATGCTTCTTCTATTAGCGCGATCGTGACTCCATCCTTATAAAAATATAATTAATAATATTCACATTCGAGAGTTGCTTAATCATTTAAAATATTATCAAACAACTTATACTAATATTTTTTCACCTCAGCCACCAAAGCAATATGTATTACATCTTGTATTTTCCAATGGGAATGAAGACTTTAATTTTCTGGCAAAGCATCATATACTTAGTAGTTCAGAGTTGAAAAAAATAAAAGAACATTTTTCTGTTTATTATGATGTTAAGGGAAGAACACTTAAGGTAAATTGATTTTTCGATTTAAATATAAATTAAAAAATAATATAACTAATTTTATTATAGTCTTTTTCTCCATCAGGAATAAAATATGGACGTTTACGAACAAAAAATGGGCATTATATTAGATCTGAATGGATTAGAAGAAATAACAACTGGGCCCAGATTAATTATTCTATTATGATATATAAATAATTTAATATATATATATATATATATATGTTGTAAATTCTAAACTGTTTTATGTGAATTCTATAGGCGATAATGTATGTGGATAAATGGGTCAATTTTCCAAAAAGAACACCAGAATTTATACCCAAAACATTTTTCGGAAATGTAAAATATTATTTACTTTATGAATTTGAACAAGAAATGCATATGTTAGCATACATTCAGTGGGCCGCCAATGTTAAAGAGGATAATGTAGGGCTTTTGTCATTTTTAGAATATGGATCACATGAATTTATTGATGCACACGCTATTGATCGTTGTATAGGATTTTTAAGATAAATAGAATTTATTATATAGTGGACAAAGAGTTTATGGATAATCATGACGAATTATAAATAAATTTATTGTATAATTCTTTAATTGTATGCATTTTGTATTGTATAAATATAGGATATTTTATAACTAAATACAATTAGTGTGTATTTTATTTGTATATTTTTTGTATGAATATTGATTATTATTTATTTTATGTATATATTTTAAAATTGCGGTGATTAAATATTATATAATTTATATATTTAAAAAATATAATTATAAAATTTTGGTTGTTTTATATATAAATAATGACCTGTTTGTATGTATTTTGTATGTTTTCGTGATATTTCATGAACATTTTATTTTTATAGGGCTTTGATAATAAATTTTATTAAGCTTGTTTTGCTAAATAAGTAAAATTTTTTAAATTTTTATTTAATTCATATTCTTATAGACTCTGATTTACAAATTTTAGATTTTATAAATAGGTTCAAAATCTTTGGTATTTCATAGATGATTTCAGTTGAGTTCTTAGTCTGATATTTTAATAATTATTATATCTAATTATTTCAAGTAAATTATTTCTTAGCTAAATTTTTATAAATTAAAATTAATAATATTTATTAATTAAGTTAATTATAAAGGTATTACATATATCTTGAAAAATTTTTTGCAATTATGTGCAGTAATTTTCAATAATAATATTGTAGAATTAGAAGTATTAAAGTTTTAAAGTCTAGTTCACCTTCTTTAAAATTACATCTAACCTTTGATGTTGTTTATAAATTTATAATCTAAAAACAACACAATTTTTCTTTATAAGATCACATACTTCTAGATGAAGCTACATCAATTGAACTTCATCAGCAACTTCAATTAAGTAGTAAATAGGATACTATCTCATAATCTAAATAGGAAAATATATTCTTTTAGCAGCTTTCTTTAATAAAGGATCATTAGTTTTTATAGCTTTCTGATAGTTAATTATTACTTGAAGATAAACAAAAGTCTATATAATAAATAATAAAATAAAATTAGTATTAGTAAAAATAAAAAAGTCTAATATTAACCTATTCGTATTTTATCTGATAAAGTGATTCTTGCTATTTTTTGACCCATGCAAGATATCCTTCTACTAATAAGTCAGAATTATTTTTTATATATGATCATATAAATTTGCAAATAGAATTCCAAGATTTATGATGATCTGCACATTTCTTAAAATAGGAAAGCTAATTATCTATCTGATAACCTTAGTACATTACA